CATATTGTTTATTTTACAGTACGTTAAACCTGATGAATTTAAGCCCATACCGGAAAATAAGCCCGAGTACCTGGCCCTATTGGACTGTGGACTTACCGCCTGTATTGGCCGTATAACCAGGGGTAAAACTGTGTTGATATCAGGTATGGACACAACCGGTGCACTGGTCTGGTCTTTATAGCCGGTAATGGAGCCCACAATTACGAGTCGACCGCCAACTGCCAAGTGTTTGAATAGTGTCTCAAAAGTCTTACCGCCGATTGTCTCCCAAATAACGTCGATTCCAGACTAAAAACAAATTCAATATATAATTTAATATGAAGTGATATTTAATAAACTCAAAATGTACTGTGTATTCATTGGTAAGTATTTCATCGAGGTTCTCTGTCCGGTAATTGATTACCCGATCGCAACCCAACTCCTTAAGCAACTTGATTTTCTCCGGTGCCGATGCCATACCAATAACATGGCAGCCCTTATATTTGGCCCACTGTACACCAATATGCCCTAAATCACCATGATTAATAATTACTTAAAACGTGTTATAGGTAATTTTATCTAAATCATTTACCAGTTCCACCCGCAGCAGCTGTTATCAGCACAGTTTCACCCCTAGTTATACGGCCCGCCTATTCATATAAAGAGCAGATAATTAAATTTGTTTAAACATGCTTGTTTGAGCAGTTAACTTACCTGGTCGAGGCCGATACAGGCGGTAAGTCCACAGTCCAATAGGGCCAGGTACTCGGGCTTATTTTCCGGTATGGGCTTAAATTCATCTGGTTTAACATACTGTAAAATAAACAATATTCTCAATTAATTATATTTTATAAAAATTATTAAAAACCAAATACCACGTACGATATACTCAGAATAGGCCCTTGGTGGCCCTGTGGGTGGACCAGTAAAAACCAGTCCCACCTGGCCCACGTTTAGACCTTTAGCACCTTGCACACTTTTGCCCAGCGCCTCAATCACACCTAGACCCTAATGTAACAACATAAATTTAATTTTGAAATTATCACGATTAATTTTATGAGACACAGACCTCTAGTCCAAAATCAAAGGGCAGGTTAGCGGCCCCGTAACCGCCCCTACCGGCCGTGATGTTCATGTCGGTGGCGTTGACACCGGCGTACAGATTACGGACCAGTAGCTCGTCGTCGGCCACCGCACGCATTGGCGTCTCAACCACTCGGCCCGCAGTCCTGGCGCTCGTCGACAGTTCAACCACTTGTACTTTTCGGTACGTTTTGCTCATTGTTTACACCAATTGAAAACTTCGTGGTAAAATACAGTACTTGTTTATTCTAAATATTAATGACAATGATAAATTATTATTAGTATCAATGTGACATAGAGAGCAGCATTGACATTAAGTTTGTAAATTTACTTATTCAATAAATTAATATAGTTGTAATATGTTTATATTAATCTAATTAATTATATAAAAATACTACTGACTTAATATTTTTATTAAGTATAACTTACTAGATATAACGTGACAAATTTTTAGTTAAATCAATATTTACCTTTGTATACAACACAATATTTGATCCAGTTACAATATGCTTTAAGGTTATAAATTATAAGTTATTGTTAACTTAATTAACAAAAAAGGTAACTTAACTTTAAATAGACAATATTTATTTACGTCAACAAATTTTGTACAGTTAAACTTTATTTTACAAAGCTCGGTATTTATATAAACAATCTAAATTACTTGTTAAGTACTTTGTAAATTTTTTTTGAGTACAATAAATAAACTTTTAAAATGGCATTGATCAGTGTGAGTTTAGTGCTATTTATTAGCAAACGTACACTGAATACAAACTATGTGAAACTATTGCACAATAAAATCAACATGTGTGTTCAAATAGGGGCAGGTATAGTAATTTTAAAATGCAGTAAATCGCAGTAATTTAAACATTTAAGATGAAATTGTTTGAGATTATACAACAGATTATTGCCCTTGGTGATATATTTTACTTATACATACTTACATTTAATACAACTACATGTTATTGTCACATGATATACAACATGTTCAAAACAAACACCCGGTTGTTATAGTTATGTGACTGAAAGTTATTTCAAATACGATATCTATTATGTTATTGTATTGTAAATGCGATTGTAATTCAATGGCATTTGTAATACAATACAAGTATAACATTAAAAACAACTTTCATTTGTTAATCGTATTATTCTCTGTTTAAACATTGATTTTTCAAGTATAAAAATATTAAATTTCTTAAAATGGTTTGACCAAAGTTAATTAATATATGAAACTATATTTATTTTCTCTACATATCAATATATGGGTAAGTTGTAATTTTGTATCAGTTTATAATTATAGTTATTTAAATAATATTTATAATAATCTGTACTTACACTCTTAAATGTTATTTTATAATTTAAGAGTTTGATTTGTGTTTAGTCAATTAAACAAAATTAGTTAGTTTAATGGAATAAATGTTATTTTTAACACTTTTAATTTAACAGTTCATGATCAATTTTTGTTATAAAAATTGTTAAAATATGGTTATTTTTACCTTATTTAAATTAATAATTGTAACTTTAATTTTGCACATCTAATTAAGTTTTACTAAATTAATTATATTATTAATATGTTATAATTTATATTATAATTATATTTTTATATTGTTCTTCTAATTAACTTGTTCAATTAACAACAACTATTTTATCTTGATTATTTCTGAGATTTAATATCCTGTCTGGTATTAGTCATTAAGCTATTGCCCAATAAGTAAGGCAAACAATATTATTGTTAATATAAATTGACAATAAAATGCAATAACTTTACATAACAATTATTACATTGTTGATTAAAAAGCTCAATTTATAATTGACAATTAGTAATGTAGTTAAATTCATTTTTAAATATAATGCAAAACATTTATTTTGTTTAATGCAAATGTTGAAATTATTATTTATTAGACATTTTATTAAACGTTATGAATTTACTTTTTTTTTAAAAAATTTTTAGCTGAATAAGTTTACATATTTTAAAAAGGTAAATAAATAATTTTCTCGTGCTATTCATGTAATTGTATTATTTGTGCTAAATATATTACCCTGTTTTCACTATTTAAAAATTATATATTAACATGTAAACATTAGAAATATATTAAACATCATAAAATGTATTTTTTATTAATAAAGGAAAACTCATTTTAATTAAAAATATTTATGTTTACAACTTTATAGAAAATAGTAGAACTCAAATGGCTTTCAACGAGTTTGAAAAGGATTACTATAAACTGTTGGGCATCGATAGGACGGCCAACAGTCGCGTAATT